CTCAGTGCTGACTCCTGTCAGCAGTTGCTAGCTTTACAAGCTTTTTAGCTATCTCCCTTGAGTTTTATAGTTAACTTTCTCAAAACTAGTATTGGACTACAATTCACATCCCCCAAAGCCACAAGGACTGGCTGAGGATGAGAATTGTGATCCCTCTAGCTGGCTATTAAGTCTGGTTTAAGTCCAGATTAAGTTTGGATTGGTTAAAATATATGTTAAGTATCAGGTTTTCACAGCTCAATGAATTGAGTGGCCAGAGCAGAAGTCTACACAAAATGTGCCCTTGGACCCTTTCTGTGTTTGGGATCTTGCCCTTATTTGGCTTTTAATCTTTTAGTTGTTTAAAATGAAGCAGGAAATTGGGATGCAGAATGCAAATAAAAATCTGTACCATCACATTTATTTGTACCAATACCTTTGGATTCTACAAATATCCCATTGGAGAACCTCCTTGGAACTGGTTCTCCTTTTCTGAATTGTTTTATAAGTGGTCATGTCCATCATGCCACTGATTTCATTAAGAGGCAAGGATCCCGCGGTAGCTATTTTGTGAAGGTTTCCCAAATTTCAAATATATCCTTGACTTAGAAAAAGCACCTATTCTTGCATTAGTGGGTTTTTGGAGATACTCAAATTTTGTCCTTTTTGTATAAGTGTGTAACACAATCATATTTATAGAAGAGAACCTATGTAGTTCAAGATTGAACTGTGGAGGACTTGGTACTTTCTTGGTGTTTCATTACGCAACTAAATTGCGTCATTTGTGCTAGTGAATGTGAAGTTTGCTCCCTGTTTATATACAGTAGCTTGCCCTGCTAGTATTGTTGGGGATACAGTGTTCTCTTTGATAGTCTCTTGATTAGGGTATTGTTTTCTGCTGGCTTTTGTGTCTGATGTGGATAAATATATTTCCAAGTGGGGCAGGGCTTCCAATCATGATGCCTTACCTGCCAAGATGCAAACTTTGTCCCTTTCCATTTCCTTGGATACCACTATTGCCAGCCATTTGTAATTGTTTATAAATAGATGCCCTTAAAAATTAACTCTTCTCCTTTAAAGCAATCCATTTGATTGCTATGATAGGACTTGATGCTAGATGAGCATTTGGGCTCTATAGATCTTGCTAGAATGGCTTGAAATACATAAAATAATATGTATTATTTATAGATAAAAGACCTATTCAGTACAGAGGAAAAAAGATAAGCCAAGGACAAAGAGGCATGGGACTTGTTACTCTAAAACTCAGAGTCCAGTGGAAAGGGGCAGCCAATCAATCAGAATAGAGCTGGAAGAGACCTTGTAGTCCAGCCCTTTGCTCAAGCAGGACATACTATTTCAGACAAGTGGCTTGTCCAGTCTCTTCTTAAAAACTTCCAAAGATGAAGCACCCACAATGTCTGAAAGTAAGCTGTTCCAATGGTTAATTGTCCTCACCTTAGGAAGTTTCTCCTTAGTTCCAGGTTGCTTCTCTCCTTGGTTAGTTCCATCCATTGTTTGTTGTCTTGCCTTCTGGTGCTTTGGGATATAAATTGACCCCCTCCTCCTTGTGGCAGCCTCTCAGATATTGGAATACTGCTATCATGTCCCCCCCCCCCAGTCCTTCTTTTCTCCAGACTGCCCATTCCCAAATCCTGCAACTGTTCTTCATATGTCTTTGTCTACAGGCCTTTAATCATCTTAGTTGCTCTTCTTTGCACTTTATTTTTCTTTGCACTTATCAATTTAGATAATTAATGTATTACATAGTATTTGTATATTCATATGGGTATTTTACAGAGACTATGTTCACATAGCCCACTATATCATGTTTTTTAAATGTGCAGTTTAAAATGTATATTCTGCCAGTGTTTTTCAACATTAGTCTGGCTTAATACATTAAGTTGGGCTAAGAGAGAAAGTGACTGGCCCAAAGTCACCCAGCTGCTTTCGTGCCTAAGATGGGACTAGAACTCACTGTCTCCTGGCTTTTTTGGGCCAGTCTCTCAGCCTAACTCACCTCATAGAGTTATTGCTGTGGGGAGAATAATAGGAGTAAGGAATATTGTGTGTGTTCACCACTTTGAGTTATTTATGAAAATAAGATGGGATATAAATATTTTTAAAAAACAGACATCTCAATAATACTCATAAAAATTCTGTACATTACATTGCAAAAATTTTCCTGTTGAAGTGGAAGTAGAGTTGGGATATAGTGTCTGATCTAAAGCCACCTAGCAGCATCTGTGCTTCTTTTGATGTTTCCAGCTTATATGCTCATGTCTGTGAGTAAAGTACTGTAAAGTACTGTAAACAAATGTCTTTGCAAGTTAGAATCAAGATCACGTGAAGTGTTAATACCACTTTAAAATGTCTTGGTAAGACCACCCTTGGAATATGCATCCAGTTTTGGTCATCACGATGTGAAAAAGATGTTGAGACTCTAGAAAGAGTACAGAGAAGAGCAACAAAGATGATTAGGAGACTGGAGGCTAAAACATATAAGGAATGGTTGCTGTGACTGGGTATGTCTAGTTTAATGAAGAGAAGAATGAGGGGTGACATGATAGCAGTGTTCCAATATCTCAGGGGTTGCCACAAAGAACAGGGAACCAAGCAATTCTCCAAAACACCTGAAGGCAGGACAAGAAGCAATGGATAGAAACTAATCAAGGAGAGAAGCAACCTAGAACTAAGGAGAAATTTCTGTCACTTGCCCCCAGAAGTTGTGTATGTTCCAACACCGGAAGTTTTTAAAAAGAGACTGGACAGCCATTTGTCTGAAATGGTATAGAGTTTCCTGCCTGAGCAGGGGGTTGGACTAGAAGACCTCCAAGGTCCCTTTCAACTCTGTTACCCTGTTATCCTCTTGACTGACATAGGAAACTTGATGGAAACAAATCTCATTCTATTTTTACCCTCTTGCAGATCTATCAGGCTAAAAAAAAATCTATTTTGCATTCTTTTTTTTGATGGCCCTTCTAAATTTATGTGTCATGAAAAACACATAATGGTAGCAATGCATTTTCAATCAAAGTTGCTGTCTTGTCCTTGTGACAAAATTGTCTCTCCTCTACTATCCTTTTTTAAATAACCTTTTAGGATCTACTTTTGATCACTGGGATGACATAGAGCTAGCCAGTACTTTGGCCTCTCAACACTATTTCACATGACAGTTATGTTCTCTATCTTCTCCCCCTCCCCATTTCCCAGCAACAGAGAATCTCCCACAAAGTACACAGTAAATAAAAGTGTTTCTTTGGCCAGAAGGCAGAGAAACATCATGTTCCTCCAAATCCATTGTGCAAGACCCTGTCCAAACTCCTACAATCACTGCCACAATTTCTCTTAGGTTGAGCAAACTTCATACTAACCTCCTGAAGACGTCATTTATAGCTGGAGCTCCCTGACTTAAGGGCAACTCCTGCATTCCTAAGGAATTTATGTCTCTCAGCACAGTGGATAGTTTTGGGCTTATCTTTGTCGGCTTGGATTGCAGGAAAGTGAAACCAAACTGGCAGATTCTGCTGAAGGAGACAGAAAATAGTGACGTCTGTTCAGTCATTTGGTATCTGGATTAGATTGTTGAGGGAGAGGTTTCATTCACTCACTAACCCAAGGCTTTTAAAGTCAGTGTCTCATACTTCACTGCATCAACAGCTTGTGTGTGTGTTAGCAGGTTGTTTTTCCAGCTGATTCATTTTTAAAATATGTAAGATTTTCAAAAACTAAGCATCAATTACCAAGCCAAACCGTACTATAGTTGTCCAAGTTCAACTTGGTTCTGTCATATATATTGACTTCCATGTTGTTTCAGGAGTAAAATGCATTAGACTTTGAAACAAAGTGCTATGTGAAAAACAGACAAGCACATATAAAAAGATTTAAAAGTTTGTATTTCCTAAAAAGATTAAACAGCATTTCCCTTGTTTTTCACTATGGTACTTTTGGCCTTGGGAGAATAGAAATATACTAACCCTATACAACATAAATCAATAAGGATCCGTACCTAGGAAACCAACATTTCAAATTAATCAGCTTCACCTTACAGGATAGTTGAATTAGAAGCTGTTCTTTCTCATTTGAAACTACAGTATGAAAGGATCTTGCTATTTTCCTGTTTGTCAGATACAGACTTTGACCAGGCTGCCAAACTATTTGTTAGTAAAGGCTGCATTAAACAGGAAAGATTTCTTCTAACCCCGTTATAGCAGCGGTTCTCAACCTGTGGGTCAGGACCCCATTTGGGGTCGATCGACCATTTCACGGGGGTCGCCAAGCAAGGCTGTCTGCCATTTTTCCCCCCTTGTCCGGTGGGTGCCTTACCTCCCTTGGGCTGGGTCAGCTGGTGACCCAGCTGGTGGTCAGCCTGCTCCATCTCTGCCGCTTGCCAGGTACGTCTCGGCTGGCACAGGGGGCAGCACCACGCATGTGCAGCACTCCCAGGCAGGGAAAGTCCTCGACTTACGACCGGTTGGGGGTCGCGGCATTAAAAAGGTTGAGAACCACTGCGCTATAGGGAAGGGGCCGCTTAGAGATTCAAGGTCTCAATCAGACAACCTTAGCTATATACCTAATCTGAGGTTAGTTAGTCCGTAACTAATATCTGCATTTATGTTTGCAAAAAAAAAAAAAAAGTGTGTGTGGAGAACAGGGAGGCCTTGTGGCCTCGTTTTATAAAATCTAAACTGGTTCTTTGGAATGGGCAAAGTAAGCAAAAAGACGTAGGCGCGCTTTTTAGTGCGCTCGTCTGAATGAGGAACAGGAGTAAGTCCACACCACAAATCCTCCACGACTGAACACTTCCCTAAACTTCAACTCACGCGTGCTTTTCCTAGTCGGCAGTTACTAAGAGTTGCTAGTTACCTTTAACTGGAAGGAACAAGGAAAGATACAAAACAGGAAAGAGACTGCAGGATTGGTGCAAGGACTCCGCGTTGAGCGGAGTTTTTCCCTTTGCCTTTGCAAAAACTCCAGCACTGCTGCGCCGTCCGCTCCCACGTGGATAAACAAGCGGCGGGGTTGGGGAGAATTCTCGCGCGCCTCTCCTCGATTGGCTAGCGTCGCGCGCCGTGCGCCTTCCGATTGGCTGGAGTATTTTTACTTACCCGCCCCCGGGTAGGACATTTCTCCCCCCCCCTCCTCGTGTATTTTGCCGACTGTTTGGTCCCTTGGTGGATTAGACTCGGCCGGCTGGCCATTAAACTTTTAAAGTTTTCGTTCTCCGATTGGCCCAGCTCTCCCCTCCGTCATGCGGCTCGCCTGCCCATTGGCCAAGGTGATCGTGGAGTGGATAACCTCGTAAAACCGAAGGAATCCCCCCTCCCCAATCCCGACTCGCGTGGCTGAAGCAGCGGCCGCGGAGGGGGGCGGGGCGGAGCGCGGCGGAGGCTTTTAAGGCTTGTTGAGGCGGGGGCCGCCCGCTGCTTTGGCTGGCCATGCTTGTAGCTCAGGGACTCACCTGCCACCGCCAGGGTCCTGAAGGGCCGCTGGCCCCGGACGCCGTGCAAGAGGAGCCTGGATGCATAGGTAACCCCAGCGCTGGCAGCACGTGTTGGTAGTAGCACCCGGGCGTCTTTGTGAATGGGCGTCCCCGCTGGGAAAAAGAAGAGGCGGCGGCGAGGACGGCTTTCCAGGCACAACTCACCCGGCTTGTCTTTCCTTTCTCCCTGCAGGGAAGGTGGCCTTGGAGACGCGCTACCGCCTGGGAGCGTTGATCGGGAGCGGCGGGTTCGGCACGGTCTACGCGGGGACGCGGCTCAGCGACTCCCTCCCGGTGAGTGAACGTGTGAGCGGCGCCTATTCTGGCACCAGGCTGGAGAAACCGCGGGCGGAGAGAGATCCGCGTCTGCAAGCGAATGGGAACCACCCTCACGTGGAGAAAGGGGCGGTAGGGAGGACAAGCTGCCCTCCTGGTTCTCTGAGCCACATCTACCATCAGTTCTAGCTATCCTGGCTAGTAGTAAGTGGAGTGAAAGCCTCAGCAAGCCAGGGCGCCCCGGGATTATCCATCCTCTGCTCGGAGGGATTTACAGTAAATTTCGGAGCTGGTCCACAAAGACCACACAATTTAGATATTTGAAATCCCTTGTTAATGGTGCTGGTGCTTTTTAAAAAAAAAACCGCACGATTAAAAAACAACCACCCTCGTGCGTGTATTAGTAATTGATTCCTGCTGGTGTTTTAAACCATTATCTGAGTTTAAGCGCTTCTAGACTGACATACTGTGGCATAAGCGTCTTTGGACTATTAACCCAATTTCCTGAAATGCTTGCAATGGTGTTATTTTGACCCAAGAGGATGTTTGTTCCTGTGATTGAAGGGGACTTGAGAAGATGGCTTTTGGAAATGCAGAAAATACAGACACGGATAATTAACTTGTTTACCTAGTTAACTGATTTGAGGTGTGAAAAAATCTGGATTGGAAGGACAAAGTAAAATTTGGAGGGGGGTGGGCATGCCTGTTGCTCCTTTTAGAAACACCTGGTGTGTCTGTCTTGGACTTGATTCTGGGTAATACACATTTGGTTTAAGGTGTTTCCCTAATGGTGCTGCCCATGTCTTCACATTCATTCAGAATCATATTTGGTAGTTTGAATCCTGCTTTAAATAAATCAGGGCTTAATAAATTCATGTGACATAATAAAAAGTGTATGATATAGTTCTAGACTATGCTAGTTGGCTTCATAAAACATGATAGCTGTGGTTTATTCTGTTGTGCTTAATATGGTATGTGCAGAAGTTCCCAATTTGGTACATTATGTACCAAAATGGATTAATTCACTAACCAAATTAGAGCCAGTTTGGTCTAGGTTAAGGCATCAGGTTAAAAACTAGGAGAGACTGAATTCTAGTTCTGTCATAGGCATGAAAATTAACTGGATGACTTTGAGCTATTCTCTTCTTTTAAATATAACCATTAGTTATCAGTATTAAGGTAGCATCTGAGGATATGGGCAGTTCTGTATGGAGGGGGGGATTGTGAAATTAGTGTATTCAGGTCTGATAAATTCAAAATTTCCAAATATTGAGAGAACTCTTTAGGTAGTGCTCCAAGGGCTCCAGTCACAATTGGTATAGCAGTAGATTTCTTTTTCCGTAGGTGTTCAATACATATAATGATGACTGTACAAGGATGCTACATATATATCATTATACAATGCATCATATAAATTCAATACCCCCCCCCCCCAAATGCATGCATGCCTAGGCATTTTTGCCACATATTTGTAACTGGACATCAAAAAGCAGCTACAGTTTCCATCAAATTTTTTCTCAACTACTCAGAAAAACTAGTGGCATTGATGCGGGGGGGGGTGGTGGTTAAACAATAGACCTCCTGACAAAAGATATTCCAATTGTTAAATTATCAATTTTTTACTTATGGAATACCAAAATATTATATTGTTTGCAACTTGTTTACTGATAGGGAACTTCAGATCATAGACAATCTTTACAGGGTAGTGAAAACAGCATCCTGTGTTGTAGGCTACAAAAAATAATGTCACGGACAGCATCGCTCTGTTCTGCAGCTATGGGCACCTGGTTCCATACTGTTAAAATATTTGGGAAAGAATCCATAATTCTGAATAAGAGATATTTTGCCCAGTGCCAAAAAGATTCTTTCAATTTAGTTTATTACAAAGGTAGTCCTTGTTTAGTGACCTCCACTAGGCCTGGTAATTTGGTCGTTAAGTGAAGTGGTTGCTAAATGAAACTACAACTGTGCATATGATCTTTAGATTTTCTTTGCTTTACAGACCTGTAAAGATGAGGACTGGCTGTTGTTATTTTTCATCACTATTCTAATTGTGAAACAAGGCCTACCTGTATTTGTTTCTGAAAGGAAAAACTGTAGTTTATACTGAGAAAATGCAACCTTCCTCCAGCTTCGGAGGCATAAGGAGGGCTTGTATAAAGGATGCTGTGATTTTCAGGGACTGGGTTAGATACCATTGTGGGCCATAGCAATCTTTGTTCGAAACCTGTTGCATTTTAAAAGTTTGGTCATTTTTCTTCTTTCAGGTGGCTGTTAAATATGTTGCCAAGGATCGAATCTTGCAGTTCCACCATATGGTGAGCATTCCTCCCACGTTGAACATTTTTGCAGTTAAACTCCAAACCTTTGGTGTTTGGAGAGCTGTGGCAAATGGTCTATCCGTTTGATTTCTGTTCTTCTCCAGAATGGCACCCTCATCCCTCTGGAAGTCCATCTGCTGAAGAAAGTATCGTCCCCAGGTTGCCGAGGTGTTGTCCGTCTTCTGGATTGGTTTGAGCAGCCTGATTCGTACTTCATTGTTATGGAGCGACCCCTTGTTTCTCAGGACCTGTTTGACGTTATCACAGACCATGGGCCCCTCCCAGAAAATGTGGCTGCTGGTTACTTCCAGCAAGTGGTGGAGGCAGTGCACCATTGCCATCTGTGTGGTGTGTTGCATCGAGACATAAAAGACGAAAACATCTTGGTAGACCTTCTGCACGGTGACTTAAAGCTCATAGACTTTGGCTCAGGTGCATTGCTGCGGGATACTCCATACACAGATTTTGATGGTGAGTATAGAGGCTGTGTAGTTGGCAGGGAGAAGGAAGGGGACAATTTGCATGTAAGAAAGACAAAGCCTTTGTCCGAAACTGCAGTTTCTTCTAGCCACTGTGGAGTTACATACAGGTAGATGGACCAAGGGTCTGTACAAGAGAACTTTTTATGGAAGATGAAGAAGAGATGGAACCCAATATAATAGCAAACAATGGATTATCACAGAACTGTCCCTTAAAATAGCTTTCTTAAACCCAGTGCCCCTGAACTTGAAGTAACCATTTGGCTGGAGATTATTGATGTTGAAGTCCAAAATCCATGGAGGATATCAAGTTCAGAAAAGCTGGTCTTGAAAGGTGACACAGAAAGGTTTCTGATTACAAGAATTTCAGAGAGTTGGTAGATAGACACAAGAGGCCTTTGGGTTTTTTCCTAGCTCAGTTCTGGGCTAATTAACCAAATCCTCTTTTGAATCATGCTTGATTTCTACAGACACTGACTATAGACATTCTCAGCAATAAGTAGACTAATGTTATTTCCTTCTGGAATTTTTTTTTTTTAATTTTCAGTTTAGCTTGGAGTCTTGGTTATTCCCTAGTGGCCTCCTTTATCTGCTCAGCCTCTCAATTGCTGCCACCTGCTGAAGCACTCAACCAATAAATTAAAGCAAAATGTGTCCTGTGTGTGGAATGAGTAGTTATATTGATAATTTACATGAATGCACAGAAGAGTTCTAAGGCCTTAATCTCTACCTTTTCATCAACAGAACTATGCCCCATCTATAAACATCTATTGGACATTTATAAGGAAGAGCTCTTTACATATACAAATTTTGTATGCAGAGACTTGCATTCTAGGTATGGGTCAGGATACAAACAGAACTTTACAATGGATTGAGTTCAGTTAGCATTCCTGAATACTCCATGTGTCTCATCATATGTCTGAAGACTTCATGAACGTTGTTTTATGCTAAATATCTAGTTCCCAGGGCTCTCATATTTTAAATTCTTTTGAAAAGTATGTTAAAGGTAAAAGCAATATGATCTTTTTTCTTAAGCTAGGCTGTTTGTTTTAGATTAAGTGTGGCCATTGTTTCTTAAAGAAACTCATATGCTTAGGCATTTTTCAGAATACTTTCATCTCCCAAATATGTGTGAGTTACTCTTTTGATTCCTTGCACCCTTTCAGTTTTCACATTTCTGGGAAGCAGAAATTCTGTGTGCTAAGTGTACAGCTGATATATTTATAAATTAATTCTAGATATTCCAGATTCTTACCAATGTCTGCTCCCATATAGTATTAAACTCATAAGTTGCAAATGAGAGGAAATCTATGTTTGGCGTATGTTACTCTAAAGCAGTGGTTCTCAACCTTTCTAATGCCGCGACCCCATAATACAGTTCCCCATGTTGTGGTGACCCCCAACCACTTATACATCACCAGGTGCCAGGGGTGTGGCCAAAGAAAAGGGGGGGAAATGGCGGACAGCCTTGTTTGGCGACCCCCGTGAAATGGTCGTTCGACCCACAGGTTGAGAACCACTGCTCTAAAGTATTCATAAAGGTTTGCATGATTGTTTTCTCCAAAATAATTATTTTACAAAGTAAAATCTTAATATTTTTTATTTTTAATATCATCTACAGTTGCACATAGAATCATTTTATATAGAGGAAAACTGAGCATGGTCGTCTTTTTTTTTTTTAACTGTGCAACTGTTTATCTGAACAGGATGGCCTGCCTACTCTTGTCTTACAAAAATAAAAAAGATACAGTTTACAAGCATTTAATTCTGAGGAAGACTCTTTGGGCAACGTTGTCAGCTGTTCCTTTCTCTTGCTACAGGCACGCGGGTATACAGTCCCCCTGAGTGGATAAAATACCACCACTATCATGGTGTGCCTGCCACAGTGTGGTCCCTGGGTGTGCTGCTATACGATATGGTATGTGGGGACATCCCTTTTGAACGTGATGAGGAGATCCTGCTTGGGAAACTCCACTATCACTGTAGGATATCCTCAGGTGAGCACTGCGGTTAGGCCAAAGAATATGTCTGTCAGATTCTTGAGGGTCTTTTAGGCTCATGTCAGGGCCCAAATGGGGGGGTGATCTGGGAACTTCTAGACTAAGGAGTTTTCTGGCTTTCTGTTGAAAACTTGTTTTTTTTTTCTGTTGACAGTTCTGGCCAATATTCTTTGCCTTGTCTAGTGTTTTTCTTCCTCTCTCTGTCTCCATCTCTTTCTTTCTTTTCTCTCCTACTTTCTTTCTCCCCCTTCCTTCCTTCCTTCCTTCCTTCCTTCCTTCCTTCCTTCCTTCCTTCCTTTCTTCCTTCCTTCCTTCCTATCAGTAACTCCTGGCAATTTCCTGAATTAGTCCTGCAGTTTTCTTGGCAAGATTTCAAAAATGGTTTGCCCTTGTCTCCTCCCTAGGGCTGAGAGAGACAGACTGGACCAAAGTCACACAGGCAGGACTAGAATAGGAGTTCTAGCCCTGCCATAGGCAGGACTCCTAGTTTCTAGCCTGCTGCCTTAACCACTATATCAAAGTGGCTTTCTAGTAGGATTAAATTGGCCATTTCCCTATAGCGTTCTTTGTGTATGCCATTGGAAAGCAAGATCTGACTTCTTTGTGCAAAAATCTCCCACCCCCAGTCAAATACTTTAGGTGGTTGAAATAACAACACCAACACCCTATAACAGTGATGGCGAACCTTTTAGAGACCGAGTGCCCAAAAACTGGCCCCACCCCCATTCCACCCCCTGCTGCGCCCCAGCTCTGCCCCCATCCCCTCCCCCGCCTGCCCGCAGAGCCACTCATTGCCTCCAGGGTCCACCGCAGATCACCCAGGCAGCCCAGCAGCACTATGGCGGTCACGCCCTCTTCTCACCACCCTGCAGCATCAACTGTGCACAGTGAGGTGTGAGGGCAGAGTCTTGTCTACACTGCCTGGCTGCCATGTCCCTGGCTGCACTGCTCCATGTGGGCCACGCTCAGGGGCGACTCTCCTTCAGGGGAGCTGCTGGAGAGGAGGAAGTCGTGGGGGGAGGCAAGGCTGGGGCAACAGCACGTGTGCCCACAGAGAGGGCTCTGAGTGCCACCTCTGGCACCCGTGCCATAGGTTCGCCACCACTGCCCTATAATCAGGCAGAGCCCAAGCTAAAGTAAATTATTGTACCAATAAAGCGCAATAAAAACACGAACTAACAAAATTAAAGGTGGTTGTAACCCTTATCAGCACATAAGTGTTCTTTGAAACATAATGGTCTTACTGTTTTGTTGAGCAGGTTGTCCTGCACCCCTCAGAAACCTTGGATAAACTAATAATGTGGGAGTTGCTCCCAAGGAGGACTGTCTCGGTTTCCCTTCAGCTCCTTCACCCCATATTGTGACGACCTTTAGAACCCCTCTTTCAGAAGAACATGTTGGATCAGTACAACAGGCAATTAGAGCCAAGCCATGTAGAATTATGTGGGTTAAGGCTAGCCCTCTGTTTGGGACCCATAAACATGGCAGCCAATGAATGCTTAGAACTTCACAGTGGCTTTGACTGGAAATGTTAAGGATGCTTGACAAGCAGTTGTCATTGGATGGACCAGTTTACTGCATGAATTTATGATTATCTGTCTGAATGACTCCCTCAAGTTTGGTTAAATAATGCAATCAGTCCAAAGATTTTGGCTGTGTGAAAGTAGGTACGCTTTGGCAAAATGGCACAATCACTGCTGTTGTGATGACGTAAGCCTTGTCGAGTGGTTTGTCCATAGGGTGATGAAGTAATTATTTCCTTCTTTGATAGATTGCCGCCACTTGATTGAATGGTGCCTCTCGTTAACACCAGAGAAGCGACCTTCCTTGGAGCAGATCCTGGCTCATCCTTGGATCCTCACCTTCTTGGAGCCAAGCGGGCGCAAAGTGCAGCAACCAACCACCCACAAAGGTGGTACTAGCCTCCGGACAGAATAGAGCAAAAGCAACATGGCTTCTCCTGCACCAAAGGACTAATCTAATCACTGTTTCTTATTCCTGCTGAGTAGCTGAGCGGGAAATTGCCAGGGGGGGGCAATTTCTGAAATCCCAATGGCGTGGCAGTAATCCTGCCCAACTGACTAGACAATGGGGCTGTCACATGGCCCTTACACAAGACAACAGAGACCAAGGGGTAATGTTTTGTTTACACAAGGACTCTGCCTGGCCCTGTCCGCTGGCAAGGGGGCAGAGACTGGCACCAGGCAAGCAGTTTCAAGGCTTTTTCTTATATGATTTGTTCGACTCAGGACACCCCCCCCCCTCCTTGGGGCAGCAGGATCGACTTTATTTTTATGTAACGTAGATATATGCCTATGTCTCTGCAGGTCGCAACTTATTTATTTAGCATGATATTCCATTGGGGGAGCCTCATTTTTATGCTGATGCTAAGCGTTTACCTGCTATCATTTTGAGTGTTAAAATTTTTTTTTTCCTCCGGTACAGCCCCAAACTGACTTGATAACCTCTCCCTACTTTACCCCATGTATCCATTCCTATTCAGCCATTCCAGGTCTGAAGCCAAGTTCTAGAGCTCGACTTCTCCACTATTGCCCTAATTTATATGGGGAAGGAAATAAAAAGTAAAGACCTAATCTCATTCAAAAGTGTACAAAAGTTCATCCATAAATAAGGGCAAGGTCGCGGGTAGGTGGGTGTTAATTGAACCCCTGAGAAAAACCTGGCTCCGATCCTCTTCTCTTCTTACAAGAACCTCAAATTTTGTTCACATTCAAGCCAAGCTTTCATTCCAAAGAAAACCTTTTCCAAAGATGCCGGCAGAATCGTGCAGTTCTAATAGTTTTTAAGAATCCTGAGTTTCTTGTTTGAAGTTCCTGATAGGATTCTTGCCTCTTCTCATAGATCTTTAATCTCAGAGACTTTGGATATGAATGTGAATGGTCCAGGTTGTTCCTCATTCCATCTCTTCAGTTTTAGGCATCCCATGTGGTAGCTTGCAAGTGCTACTGAGATTTTGGTTAATGTAGGGAAAGTCTGGTGCCCTGGATGTTTTCTTAGCTTTGGCAAATATCTTTTCATCTTGATTTTTCTGGGCCTCCGTTCTCCCGCCCATCCCCTTTCTTTTTCGTTTGCCTTAGAAACTGAGGGGTCAAAAGGGGACTTGTGTTTGCCCTTAATCATATTAATAAATTAGGCCAAAGTACTCTTACTATTTGAGTAAGAACTTGTGTTTTGAAAAAAGAGCAGCAAGAGCCTTTTTTTCTAGAAAACTTTGGGTTTTCTCAGTGATTCCCCATCTTTTATATGGAGGTCAAAGCCTTTTCTTAGCCAAATCTATTTCACTATTTGTTCTGAATTCTGGTCTTTCTACTTAGTGAGGAGGGGAGGACACTGAATCCCCAAGCAGTTAAGACTGACAGTAGATATTTGAGGTGAAGATTCAAGTTGATTTTCATGCAGATTTATTAGTCATGGTCATCTAAACAGGACTCAAACTTTGGCCAGCCTTGATCATCAGTCAAAAGAGTGCTTGCCACAAACTTGCTTATCCTGAATGAAGCAGGTGAGATGATGTGCCTGTATGATATCCTAATGTTGAAAATCCAAACTTACTAAAAACATGAATATTTTGCTCTAGCTCTCATCTGGGAAGGTAAACAAGACTCCATTTTTAATCCAAATCTTAAAAGATATCTGGAAAACAGAGGTTTAATTGCTGAGTGTCTCCGAGGTTCATAGAGACCTTAAAATAGACTCTCTGCTTCTGTAGATCATGGAGAGAGAAAACAAAAGTCTCCCCTGGATCTTTTCCTGACCATGCTAAAATATGAGCTTGTGGTTCCCTGTATCTGCACAAAGCTGAGCAGTCTTAAATTTCTGTTTCTTTAACACAAATATTGTGCCTCTTAATAACTAAATGGGAGCTGGATCAGAGTGATAACACAAGAAACTGGAGATCCATTCTGGGATATTGCCAGCAACAGTTTCTAAACCTGCTGCCGCTAGCAATTATTACTAAAGAATATTTATATGCCAGTTCAGGTTGTTACTTTATATTTGTGGACTTGTGTGTTTTGTTACTACTGCCTCTCATGTACATTTATGCAAGCACATAAGATAGTGCCTCGCCCTTTTGGGCCCCAGTATCTACAAAGCCCGATCTGGGTTTAAATAAACTTTTATAAGAAAAAAGAGTTGTTTCTCTTGTGTGCAGGTGTATTTTGGGGGAAATATCCATTGAGTGTCAGTGTGTGTAACTGACCTGGGTTTGAGATAAATAGATCTCTTCGCTGATTCAGTGCTTAGTTCCAGAACTTTAATATTTGTAAAACCTTCTATCCTCTGAAAACTTTAAATAAGCTTGAGAGCAAAGAATAGCTACAGAGGTCTGCTATGGCACATGCTTTACATCCTTTGTATGTAAACATCCTTTGAAGAATGTTCAAAGTACATTTAAAATATAAATGACAATGCATTTTTTAAAATCTACAAAAATAGCAAAATATGCAGAGAAAACTGCTTAACTGTTAGTGAGATTACGTAGTAGCTAATGGTTGGCAAGATCAAAGATCCATCAAAGATCCTTAAGATAAAATTTATTTTTTGTCATTCAAAGCAGTTTGGATGGGAATATGCACTGGATCTATATATTATACTAAATCTTGGCTTATCAGATAAATCAGTTGGATTTATCCAAATCTTAAGCCACTACACTCCCTCAGGCCCACCTGGTGGGTGTTTTTTCTTTTAGCAGATTGCAAGGCATCTTGGAAGGTTTCTTTTACCAAATTTATTTAGTAATTTAGCTGAATGTTTGGGTCTACAAGATGTATGATGCCTTGTGAATTACCGGGTTTGTTGCTACCAATTTGCCTTTTTAATTTATGTATATTTATTTGTATATTGCCTTTATTATTTTTACAAATAACTCAAGGCAATGAACATATCCAGCACATCTTCCTCCTCCTATTTTTCCCACAACAACAATCCTGTGAGGTGGGTTGGGCTGACAGAATGACTGGTCCAAGGTTACCCACTGGCTTTCATTGCTAAAACAGAACTAGAACTATGGTCTCCCGCTTTGTAGCCTTGTGCCTTAACCGCTAGACCAGGGGTAGGCAATCTTGGCTCTTTTATGACTCGTGGACTTCAACTCCCAGAATTCCTGAGCCAGCATGGCTCAGCTTGGAAACCTCTCCCTTTCCCCTCAGCATGGCTGGCTCAGGAAGTCTGGGAGTTGAAGTCCACGAGTCATAAAAGAGCCAAGGTTGCCTACCCCTGCACTAGACCAGGGCTTTTCAACCAGTGGTATGGGTACCACCTGTGGTACATTGGCACCTGGCAGGTGGTACGTGATCTTTCTAGAAAAGTAGCGGGGGAGGGGAATGAGCTGAACTGGCACAAGCCTGAGCGAGAGATAGCTGGAGCTGCAGGGCTCAGCGGAAGCGCCAAGATCAATGCCACTTTCCAGCTGCTCGGCACTTTTTCGGAACTGTCAGGGCTCAATGGAAGTGCCAGGATCAGCGCCAGGGTCCAGCTGGAGCTCGGCGTTGATCCTGGCACTTCTGCTGAGCCCAGAAGAAGCACCAATCAGCTGGAATGTTGCAGCATCTCCAGGGTCTTGTGATTTACATTCCGATGCTTGGCAACTGATTCATATTTATGACAGTCACAGTGTCTCAGGGTCATGTGAAGTGACCAAAACCTGCTGCAACCACCCAGCAGACAGGGGAATAAAAACCAAACACTCCCCCCCCCCACCCCTGCTGCCAATCCTCAACAGAAATGCTCACAACAATGAAAACCTTGGACAGGAGGAAGAGCGCCGCTGGGTGGGCAGGCGAGTGCCTTGCTCAGCTATGGCTTGGGAGGCACTTTTTTCGGTGCCATTGTAACTTCAAACAGTCACTAAGCGAACTGTTGTAAGTCGACGACTACCTGTACTTTTTTTCTTTTTTGGGGGGTCAAGTTTTTGACACCTTGCTAGGTGACTAGTAGCTATCTTTCTTACTTGCAGATATCTTAAAAGGTAATTAAATCTCTCAATGCACGTTCCTAACGCTTGTGTTCTGATCCACAAGATGGTTCACATGTCTTCAGGAAGTGTGCAAAAGGCATTTCCTTTTCATTTGTAGTAACATACCTATCTCCCAGGGTGTGAATCCAAATTTAATTGAATGCCTCATGACACAAGGGAAGCAACCGGAGAGATTGGCTACCTTGCCAAGTTGTGAGACTGATTCAACCTGTTTTTAGGAGTTCGTGATTGCCCGCAGATTTGTGAACCACAGGGAGTTGCCTTTAAAACTGTCCCTGAGCAACATTTGATAGAAGCAAGGATGGTAAAATCCAGACCAAAGTTGCAGATGTCACTATCTTGTTAAGAGATGGGTACGTGGAGCGTCATTCATGTCATGCTCTCAGCGTGGGAAGTTCTAGTTCTCCTGAGCACGTGGGTGTTGTCTGGGGCAGATAAAGCTTGAGGTTTCTCAGTCAGGTCCTGACAAGATTAAAGCAGCTCAGCATCCTATTAAAAGAGGTGTGTTCTTAATGCTGGAGTATAAATGATTCTGCTGGAACAACTGCTTTGAGAAATGCAGAAACTGTTGGCGTGAGTGTTACTCGGGTAAGTCAATGGGCTTTGGCAAATCAGGTAGGCTGTGAGTAGGTCACCAATGCCTCTTTCATTAGAGAAGCATAATATAGTAGCTGGGATAGGGCTGATTAATACGGTGGTTAACTCTATCTAACCATTTTCAAACAAAAACAGTTTAATTTGTAGAAAAGTAAGCGTTCTGGGAAAGAGAGATTACCACAATAATTTAGTCTTTAGTATGATACTTCTCCACGGACCCAAGAAATTACTGTAATGAGTTGGAGAAACGGTTGTTCAAATCACAGATCAGAGAAGGAAGCATACGATAACTGTATGAGTCTATGGCAAATAGAAGAATGAAATTGATAGGGACAGATCTGGAATCAAAATTGGCGGCTGAAGTACTAATGATCTGAGATACACAGAGGGCATTAAATGCAAGTGAAAAAGAAAAGATTGTTATGAAAGTCAATGGAAAACTACAGCTAAATATTAAGACAAAGATAATGTCAACCAGCATGTTTCATAAACTTACAAGCGATAACAAAAAAATGAAAGTAGTAGATGGCTTTGTTTTGGGGGCTCAACAATAGCTCAAGATGAACAGTATTGTGGAAAAGGTAAAGAGAAACATAGACAAGACCATGAAGGATATAGACATTTCAGGTACAATCAATTGTAGACAACTGAAACCCACATACTGTGGTTTATGAGCTAGAAAAAAAATTACCTTGACAAATTGAGGCCGTGGAAAAAGACAACAGAGAGACAAGATCAAAAGAATTACAAGAAGTCTATGGTAGAGTTGCAAGCTGAGTACATGGACCTAATACAGAGACAGATCAAGATGGTCCATGTATTCAAGTTGAGTCAAGCCCAACTCAGTAACGCCTAACTGGTGTATCAAGATGTCTTGAACTACTACTACAACCACTTTCCATGTTGGTTTGAGTTAATGAAGGTTGAAATCCAAAGCATCTGGGAGGCACAATGTTCACTATCTCTGATTTACATGCATTACAATAGTAATCTTGATTTATGCTTCGAAGGTAAGTCAATAGTATTCTCTTCATTTTGCAGATTTTATGAGAGAGAACTTAAGTTCATGTCTCAGACGCACCCTCTGCCACGAGAAGGATATTTGGGACTTGAATTAGGAACTTCCAGCTTGTTATAATCTTAATATATCCTACACCAGTTTGCAGTGCACACCTATTGTTGTATTTTAAAAAATTGTGTGTTCCTTCACACGTATGAGTCTTCTTCAGTTTGGTACCCTACAATTGGGATTGCAGCTCAGTGTTCCAATCCAGCATGCTTGTAGTTAAGAAATCTTGGAATTGCTCAATATTTTGGCAGTTTAGGGAGTTGACTTTTTACATCCGGAATATATACACAAGATATGACAGACAGATATGTCAGAGATCTGCAGTCAGGTGCCAGATAGAAAAAACAAATGAGATCTGCAGCTAAATATCACAGATTCCTCACTACTTAATATGTCTGAGACTTACTCATTTTATTTTCCAGTGGCCCATAAATAATATTTTAAATACTGTCATGGAGCTGGAGAAATATCTGGTGATGTTTAACCTTGAGAAGGCTGATAGCACAGTTCAAATGCTTGAACAGATGTCATAGAGAGGAAGAAGAGATGTTCTCTACCACTAAGAGTACAAAAACACTGGATTTAAGTTAAAGGAACAGATATTCCACTTAGACATTAAAAGAACTTTCCAGTGTAGCAATAGTTCCCTGACAGAAATGGTATGCTCCTTTACACAGGATATGTCCAGTCAGAGATGGTTTAATTCTGAGTAAGGTTTGAAGTTAGTGATCTAAATTACCTCTTAGGATCCTTTGATTCTATGGGGTGATTTGAAGTTGTTGAATATGGGCACAAATCAGAAGATAGATGGAATATTTATTTTTAACAGTTTGATTTGGGTGGGGAATACTGGGAGTTAAAGCCCACAAGTCTTAAAGTTGCCAAGGTTGGATGTCTGTGAAGATTCTCAGTCATCCAGGTCATAGTTGTTTCAAAGGTATCTTTTTTTTTCTTCAAAAGGCCCCTGGACTGTTTTTTCCTTGAGGGAGACAAAAATGTTTCACTTCTCATCCAAGAAGCTTGATTACAGGTAGTCCTCAACTTATGACCACAACTGAGCCTAAAATTTCTAAGTGAGAAATTTGTTGAGTTTTACCCCATTTTACGACTTTTCTTGCCACAGTTGTTAAGTGAACCATTGCAGTTGTTAAATTAGTAACATGGTTGTTGTTATGTCCCGAGCCTTGCAAACGGCTCGGGCGTTTGCAGGCAGTCCCGGGCAGGTGCAAAGCTGCCCGGGACCAGACAGGCTGTCGCCAGTGCCGTGCGCATGCGCGGGTGCTGGCGCGGGAAAAGTAACCCATTTACCCGGGAGTTGCCTATATAAGAGGCTGCGAGGCGTTTGGGCGAGGCTGAAGCCATCTTCCTGTAAGCTGAACGCTGAATAAAAGAAACTGAGAACTCCAGCTGCTTCTCGTGTCTATTTTCCCGCCACGGACTCAACACTGGCGACGAAGGTGGGATGCCTTGCACTACCTGGAAAGGAAAAA